CGCTCTCCGCGCCGCAATCCTCGCCGGATTATGCATTTTTCCGGGAGAGCCCGTCGTGTTAACGCGTTACGTCTATACGCGCCGGAAAATGCAGGCGCGCCCGATGGAGCGTCTCATGCGGGCCGGACTCGCGAAACTCTCGCGTCGGACTCGCGTCGTGTTAATCCACAACGCGGTATCCTAGTTTGTTTCATTGAATAAAATCCCCGATGCCTCGCGAGACACGCGCGTACGGCTCGTTTCGCGCAGTTCGCACGAGACCGTTAAAACTATCGCGAACAGCGGCGGGAAGTTGCCGCTGTTGCTGTTACCGTCGGTGCCGCTGCTGGGAGCCACTTTATCGAGTAAAGTCAGTGCAGCAGCTTTTACAGGAATTACTCGGTGAATCGCAGCGCGAAGCGGGACGCTTCGACATAAGTAAAGTGTGCGCGACGAATTCATCGCGGTGTAGCGAAAATCCCGACGCCGCTCGCGCCGCTTCATCGAATTAATCATTGTCCACGGGCTTTTACCGTGATCGTAGGAATCGTGAAAAATGATCCTATTTATCTCGTTTAAGACAAGATCTATCAGACGAAGTGCTTCGAGTTCCAGTTCGCGCCGATGTTACGCGGACTCTCGTCGTTTTCGCCACCGCGTGTCGTGGGAAATAATTAACGGAAACTCGCTGTCCTCCTTCCTCCCTCCCTCTCTCTCTTCCTCTCTCTCTCTCTCTCTCTCTCTTTCTCTACCTCTTAAAACCAAATTATACGACTGCATCAGAGAGAATTGCCTACGACTTTCTGTCGTCGCCGAAATATTACTTTGAAATTAACGTGCATGATCTGTGTTTTACATAATAGCATGAATTTGTTGTTTTGCTGTTTCGCGTTTGGGCAGAGTCCCAGAACGCTTAATAAATGCCTCATCATCATTATCTATCTCTCTCTCTCTCTCTCTCTCCTTTCTTGTCGGAATAATCAAATATACCGATCCGAGACGCACGAGGAAATCTCGCGAATGAATTCAGATCACTCATCTCGCTCCCCATTGCGCGATGGTTTACGGTGATTCTTAGACTCAACGACGAGGAAATACCGCGTGCGGCCGCTCTAACGAAGTGCCGCGTAAAAGTTGAGTCGCGCGCGCGCGAGAAGGACGGCGAATTAGCATGCAAAAATATGGTATGGCTGTATAAAGGTGGAGGGCATGCGGTGGTGAAAGGACAGAACTCGACTCGGCTGGCGCATTCCGCGCGTTTGTCGAATAAATTACGCGATTTCTAATTAAGCACGGCTAAAGTGCTTATTACGGTCGGTACGTTAATCATCCCTCCGTGTGTGGGTGACACTTTTTCGCCTGGATCCACGTCCCGTGCGTGCGCGTATGTGCGCATGAGGGAGATTCTCGTTTGTATGAAATATAGTTCTCGGCCGAATAACAGCACGCGTATCCCGCGATAATGGCGCGTTAATTCTTCCCCCGAATTATTATCCCCGAAATCGATCGAAATCCCGACTGCCGTCGTAATCGCGATGTCGTGTGACGCGCGGCCGAATTCGATCGGGTAAGATCGGCCCCGTTGAAGATTTTAGGCGGATTCCCACGGGAATCCATGGAAAATCGCGTGAATCCGTACGGGACATTAGAAATCCATACAGGGATTCGCACGGTGTGCGAAAATCCACGTAGGAATCCACACGGATTGTTGCGCCGAACCGCTGGGTTTCCGGGGCGCAAATCTCCGGGAGCGGGATTCCATGTGGATTTCCTATCGTGGATTCCCACCTGACTTTTTTTCAACAGCCTCGCGATCTACGATATGGCGAGCAACGGGTGTCCGGGTCCCGCTTGACTCGGTTCACGAAGAAACAGCGGATCGGCCGTTTTTCACGTCGATACGAGCCGGATTCCTCTCCATCGAGGGCCCTAAGTCTCTCTCCGAGTGCTTTCCACTCTCGCGCGGAGAATACACCCTCGGCCGGAACCCCGCTTTATTCATCGCCCGGGGGGAGAGGGGGAGGGGGAGAGTCAGACGAACAACGCGCTTGATTAACGGTGCTTTTAAATAATTACAGCCACGACTATTTGTCACTTGTCATTTATCATTTCGGCGGGCTAAAATGGAAGGGACGCCTTTAACCAGAACTTTCTCCAGAACTCAGGAGCGCGCCGAGGAATTGCCCGGTCTCGCTATTTCCCTCGTAACTCGCACGACCTTCTTTTGCCAGCGGGAAGAGGTAGGAGAGAAAAGAGAGAAAGAGAGGGGAAGCGCGTCGCTCTGCGCGACCAATTTTCATGGCGCGCGAAACACCGGGACGAGCCGCGTATCTCATTGCAGTAAGCGGATGACCCAATTTCGTAACAATGCACGCCGCCGGCGTGCGCGAAAGAGACGCAAACAAACAGGAACAAGGCAGGGAAAATGGAGATGGAGGAGGCGGGCCGTTTTATCGCCGAGCTGCAGCAAGCGAATCCCGCCTGGGTGCCGCGCGAGTTAGATGGGCGCGTTTATGAGAACGGCACCCCCGCGCGCCGGTTATTTATATTTATACGTTAAATGTGAGGGAAAATCGCGCGCCGAGCTGCTCGCCCGCGCGCGTTCATCACGCCGCCGAGCGCGGAATCGAATTCGGCGGCTGCGGCATCGCGGTTCGATTTGCCTGTCATTGAATTACGCGCCCACGCCGTCATTCTCGAGTCGTCGAGAAGGGAAGCGACCCGCAGAGAGCATCGAAAAAACGCGAGATGGCAATATACGCGAAAGAGAAGAAGGGGGAGAGAGAGAGAGAGAGAGAGAAACGGTGGGCCAAGTAGCGCGCAATTTTAATTTGCGAAATTGCTCCCGCAAGAATATGTTTGTCTGAAAATAAAGTACCGCGCCCTGGCGAAATAGCATCTCCGCGAGGTGAATATGCATTTATGTTTGCCTGGGGTCCACGGAAGGCTTAATTCGCGCCCGACGACGAACGGGGCGACGGAGGGGAGCGCGAGATGAACGACAGAGAAAGAGAGGGAGAGAGAAAGAGAGGAAGGGAGGGAAGGCAAGAGAGACAGAGAGCGCAGAGCGCGCGGTTTTACGCGCTCGCGTGAGTCGAAATTCATGCGGCGCAGGAACTGATATTTCCCAGAAAATGAATCACCCTTATACAAACGGACCGACACACCGCGGTAACAGCGGCACAATAGTCAGACAATAGCAAAAGCGCGCTGTGCTTGCTGGTAGCTAACTAGAAGGGGGTTAGAACGGGGAGGGGGAGGAGCGGGGTGGCGGTGGGGCCGGACGCGGAGGTACGCGAGTGCTCGGGGGAATGCACACGACGAAGGCAGGAGAGAGATTTCGTGAATCTCTCTCTCTCTCTCCATTCCCGGTGGGCTCGGCTAGAGGTGGTGACGAAGAGAGCGAACCGGGGCCGCCGGGAACGAGGAAGGATGGAGGGCTGAAACTGCGCTCTCCAGACGGAAACAGGATGAAGGTGCGCCTTTCCGCGTGCAAACCGCGGCACGCTGCGCCGCGCCACCAAACAGCCGAGCAAATTAAATAACCCACATCCATTAAAGATAGTGCCGTTACCCTTCCGGGTTAGTCGCCTGGTTACCGAGCGTTTAATGTCTAATTAACGTATTACGCAAATCGGCCGATAGAAGCGAGCGAGCGTGCGTGCGAGTGTCGCGGGTGCCGACGATTTACGATTCATGAGCGCGCCATCGCTCTCCCCCTCGTGATTCGCGATACTATTTGCGTCCAAATTGGAGAGCATAGATTTCGCTCGGTGGAGGAGAGAGAGTGAGAGAGAGAGAGAGAGATGGCGAGGAAAATTTATTCCGACTAACTCGACGGCTAATCCTCTGCCGTGCACGATGATATTTCCTTCGTTGATTCTTAGGCGAGTGTTCTCCCCTCCCGATGTATATCCCGGCGGGATATATCGCTGCTTGTAAAGATGCAAATCGTAACCTCGGCGTAAGATTAATTGCGCAGGGATCCTTTAAAAATATTCCCGGACGCGTAAGTAAGCGCCCGTAGTTTCTCTTCGGGAGGAGCTCGCCAAAAAATCGATACCGTGTGCGAATCGCCGAGAGTCCGGAGGTGAGCGAAGCAACAGCGTGCTTAAATTTTAACAACGCGATAACCGATGAGGAACGTCCCTCTTGACAGTGCCGCGCGTTACTTTCGTCCATACATATATTCAAATGATCGTTCCTTGGCGTTCATGAAATTTAAAACGTATCGACCCGTGCAGCAACTAGATTCTCACGAGATTGCTTCTTTGAGGTCTGGTCAATCATGGCGTCACTCATGGTCCTGGTTTATCAAGTTTCCCTTCACTCTCTCTTCTTCCCTTTTTCTCTTTTTTCTCTCGCTCTCGCTCACGTAACACACACATACACACATACACACTCTTTCTCTCTCTCGCAAAGCTTTCATAAAATTTAAAAGGTTATCCAATATATTCGTCGCTTTTTCATGTCAAGTCGGTTTATAAGGAAACACAAGAGCGCCGACGCTAACACATTTTTACCCTAATTTTCCACTATCTCTCCTACAATTTTTCACTACTTTTTCCCTTCGTTCACAAGGTTCCATTTTATCCGTACACGCACGCCAAGTGGCGTACCTAATTATTCACTGAACATTAGCGGCATGAAAAAAAGGGCACACGCGCGAGAACGTGTCTGCCAATTCCAATTGCGTAAAAATGTTTGATTTCGGAGCGTCATTTCATTTTTTATTCGATACTCGGAAACGCACTTTATCTTCCCATTCTGCAACGCATCGCCGATAAGCGCGTCAGTTTTGAGGGCGCGATACAATTTATATTGTTTATCAAAATCTCGCCAAAACGAACAAATCGCGTCGATTTGTATCTCTGTGTTTTATTTAAACGTCGCGCGACACCTGCGCGCTTCGCGCCGCTTCGAAAATAAACGGCGAGCGCGACGGTGTTATGATTACGTGCAGTCGTGCCGCGGCGCCCCAAAAAAAAAGAGAAAGAGAGAGAGAGAGAGAGAGAGACAAAATTAGAAAAGCACTTTTGCGCTGAGCTCGACCGCCGTTCTCGCGCGGGCGATCCTATATCGATCAGCGCGTGTTGCACCACCGACGTCTAACAGTCCCCTTTTCCTTCTTCAATCCGTAGAATAAAAAGCGGCTTTACAGAGACGAAGTCCCCTTTGCTTTTACGCTTCCTCGCGGGCGAAATGCTTTACGGGAAAAATTCAATAGATAGCCGGGCGGTGGAGGATGTTGTAGAGATTGTTCCGTTGCACGTGATCTATGGGGGCGCCGTGGCCCGGTCTACCCCACAGCCTTTTCCAAGTATCGAAGTGTTTGCGACAACTCTCCTGTTCGATCCGTCGTTCCTCCTGAAACGATAGCAAAATACGAGACGATTTTTTTTTTTTATATCCTCTCCCTTTCTCCGGTCGTCTAACGTTAGATAAGGCCGAGGATGGAAGAAAAATATTCCGCGCAGCGAAGCAGCGAAGAAATGCCTTACGCAAGGCGTGATCAAACAAGCGCGAAACGAGGGTCGTATTGTCAAATTGAGAAATAACTTCTCCAGTTTCTCCGTCACGCCGAGAGAAACCGGGGAGTAGCGAGTCGCGCTATGACGCTCCGTCTCGACGGAATTCTTTTCGCGCCCGCTAAGTCCGCCGGGTATACAGCGGATTTGCTTCCTCTCCCTCTCTCTCTCGCTCCCTACACGAGAGCGAATCGATCGCGGAATCGACGCGAATTCGCGGATCGCTTCAATTTCGAATTTGAATTCCGGTTTATTCTCGGTTAGCGGCCGACACGGACGTTCGATTTCATCATCCGCATCGCACGTGTGCGCGACGCGGGCGCGCGTTAGTCGATTCGATTCAATAACAGACGGCTGAACGGCGAGGAGATTGGCGAGAGATCGGCACAATTAATCCCCGTTTCGAATTATCCGCCGTCCGGCGTTACGCAATCGTCATCGATCATACGGCACTTACCAGCGCCCTGTTCCGTTTACGTCGTATCTGCTCGGCGAGATCCGCGATGTATTCCCGATCTCCGACGCCGAGGGCGCGAAGCCTATAAAAGAAAGGGAGAGGCGCGCACGTCACTCAACTTTCATATCCTTTCCCTGATGAGGCCGCGCGCGACGCCCTCGCGGAAATGACGGGGCCACGTGCGCGCCGCATGTGTAGATCGAAGCGAGCGAGCGAGCGCGCCGAGCACGCGGAGGCAAATGTTCGAGGGGACGAAGCGCAATCTGAAGTGAATTCTACCCCGGCCCTCCCCCCACTCCTCGGAGCGAACTGTTTGATATCGTCGTCATCGTCAAATGCGAAAGGCAAATTTAGAGTATAAATTATGAACGACATGCCCCGACGGAGCAATGTAAGGATGACGAGTAGACGGATCTGTCGGACTATTCGACGGGATTCGGTCGACTCGCGCGGAAATAGAACGTATCGTCTTCGAGTTTACGATCGTCTCGCTTAGAGAGTCGCGAATATCAAGGATGATTGAAACCGGTGGATGAGTAAACGGTCTGTCTACTTTCTTCTATCATCTCTCTCTCTCTCACTCTTTCTCTCTCGTTCTCTTTCCATCCGTCTCGGTATTAAACGCGAAATTAAGCCGAGCGAGAGACACGTGTGAAAAAAAAAGCTTGCCCGCCCGGAGTCATCGATATTTTTGATGCCGCTTTGAATAGTCTTTAACGACTCGGCGCTAATAGCTAGCTGTGCGGATGGTACGCGCAACTCGCTCGGAAACGCGCGCGAAAACACCGTGTATCGATTCTCGCGTGCGTCACGAAATTAAATACACCCGCTCGCGCAGCATTCGACGGGTACACTGTTCCATTGGCGTAAAAAAAGGCAAGAGAGAGAGAGAGAGAGAAAGGAAAATGGAAGAAGAACGAGGAGGGAAAAACAGATAAATAAATAAAGTCGCGAGGGAGGTCTTTTTTTGGGAGGGGGGATGAATAATGTTCCGGGCTTACACGGTGCTTACCGGCGTGCTTTTCTCTCTCGAGGTCATCACCGGCGTGATGACAGATAATCGAGAGTGATTAATTACTATGGCCGCGCGTTCGGTCGACCGCGTTATGAACAACGCGACGTGCACGGGCGCACGTCTACGCCACACACTGGGCAACTTTCATATACTATTCTATTAAACGTTATCAAAGTGTCTCGTTACGTGTCAGGTTGGCGCCTCTTCCATTCGTACCTCGCGTTACGATCGTTTACACGCCGGGTTATCGAACGATAAATCGGTATTATCCGATCGGATGCAACGCTGGGGAAGAGTTACGTTTACCCGAAGTCAGAGTAATAGCGTACGTTCAGCGGACGGCGGGGGGTTGGTTTTTACAATTGAGGCGCGATCTTAAAAACCGTTTTGATCGGCCGTTCTCACGGTCACTCTCGAGCGGACCCCTTAAGAAGGTTGTTAGGCGCAATGAGTCTGATAAGAATTCGATGAAACACGCATTACGTCTACCCTGGAATATTATCTAACTGTTCTCGCAATTAGGAGAAGATTGACTATTTGACAACTGAGATGTTTGCAAGTTAAAAGGTTATATCTCTTATACGTGTTCCTTGAGATCAGCGTGCTATTTTTAACTTCTGTGCTTAACGTCTTCTAAACTAAAAATAGATCTTGATTGGAACTACTATGATATTAAAGACTAATATGCAAACATTATATACACAAATTCGGAATTATCGACTATTTTGTTTAGAAAATGTAGCCGTAGGAAATTTACAATTTATAGCAATACGCGCGATATATGTGTATAATATACATATTTAAATATTTATACACCATTTTCTATTATGCGTGCACATCTATTAATTTAATTATCATTCACTTAATTACATCATTGACCATTTTGTTTTGAAAATACAGCGGTATGAAGCTCATAGTTTATAGTTATACCGGAAACACATACTGGAAATGCATATATTTAAACACTTGTATACCTCTTTCTATTATATGTGTATGTATATTAGATCAAATGATGCATAAACATAGCACTAATAATAAAAATAAAAAATAATACTTTCGTATTTGTAATATTATATATACATACATTTACCTCAACTTCATTTTGAATTAACATTTATTATTTGGATAATGAAATTAATATATAAAAGCGTAATTATACTTGACAAGTACTAAATTTATGAGTGGCTCTCCTGATACGTCGCTGAAAACACGACGCTGAACCCTGCAACCTCCCTAAATTCGGACTGGATAATTGCACTACGATGTACCGTTTCGACCGGGCGGCCTCAAATCGCACCGTTTTACAGAATTAATTTCCATTTCCATAATCAATCGTCCTATTTGCCATTGTAAGTTCGTCGAGGCAACCGAGGGACCCGTTTCCCAATTAAGATAAAGAGCTTCTAAAGTGAGCAAAAGTATTCTCCTTCTTCCTCTCTTTCTTCTCCACCCCCGAGGGAGATTTACCCCTCGGGGAAAAATAAAATCTGTCTACCTATCTATCTTTCTTTAAGTTCGTTGTAACGGGAACGCCGGTGTAAAAGTGCACGTATTTTCCGGAGGATTCTACGCCGAAAGTAAACATCATACCGGTAAATATTTAGAACGACGCGCGTCCGCCCGCGCGCAAGGAGGAAAGTGAGGGCGAGATTGTGCAGGAACAGACAGGTGAAACGGCCGAGGTCGAGTGCATTCGGGTCAATTGGTTGATTACCTGTAATGTAGTTACATCCCCCGAGTGTCGTATCGCCGGCCACCAATTCTACGGTTGGCATCGTGTCTCGTCGTGTTTATCATACTTATGAGACGCGAAAAAACACTCGTACGTACGCAACACACGCACGGCATGCGCGGGTAATATTACAGTCGTGAACTCTCTTCGACATTCGCCGTGTAATGACAAACACAAAAGCGCATTGCATTTGTGTACGCACCATTGCACACGCTTCATTATACACTCGCCTCTATTTCGTCCTTTTTCCTTCATTTCATTTTTTTTTCCTTTTTGTTTTCGTACGCGAAGCTGCCAGACTCTCACGTCAGATCGACGAAACTCAAAAAGAAGAGAAAAGAGAAAAACGAGGGAAAAGAGAATACGGAGGAGAAACAGGGAAGAAACTCGAGTATTAAAAAAGGGAGAAAGTAAAAAGGAGGGAAAATAACGGAGAGAATGTTGCGCAAGTATAAACGTATACTGACGTATAAAGTAGAAGACCGGTGCAAGACGAAATGTTACACAATATGCATGTATAATGTGTACCCGGTAATATACAGGGTGCTCGATTCGCAGCGATATTTAAGAAAATTAATTGAAATATTCAATAGTCCGATACGTGCGTGTGTGTGTGTCTTCCTTTCTTTTGAGAGGGCGCGAAACGTGAAATTCTCGCTCGGCTAAACGAGTAATCAATAACACGTTTTCATCGAGGAAATTATCGGGCGAACAATAAGTGCTTTTAATATCAATTATAGTAATGAGTAAATGCACGTGATTATACACGAGTACCAGTTATGTATTTATACCCGACACACCGTTTATCGATTATTCTATCGTCCCGACGCGTGTTATCCTCAACATTTGCAGGTTCACGTAACGCGGCGGACGCAGTTAGGGCACGCTACAATAATCCGTTAGCAACACGCATCACCATCGAATCATTATCAGAAATAATTGCAACATATTATCAAAAGACGTAGCGGCTTCTTTCAACGTCAAAGATTATGTCTGAATGAAGCAAGGTTCAAGATAGATAAAGTACGAAAAGACAAAGTACGAAAGTCCGAAGATTCCGGCATCAATATTAATCGCAATACACTGGATGTACATACCGAGAGAGAAATGAATGACGTTTTCCTTTTCCCATTAGCGCCGGCAATTATTACCGAAACACCGAGTGAGGTGAGAGGCTTCCGATATTCGCGAGCTCAGAATCCCGATATATAAATCACGATCCGTTGGCAACGCGGGGCGACGAATGGTTTTCTAACGAGCGCGTTATATCGCGTAATCGCGAACGTCACGCTCATCGGGCGACCATTCATTTTGGACGAGAGCAAGCCAATATTCGAACAGCCGCCGTCGCAAACGCTCGTACTTACGATTCTATCGTGTATCCCGGACGAGTGGCATCCGTGACGAGATAGCGCGTGGTCGGCGGATGCGGCTGATAGCGCCGGCTGGTTAACAAAGGCACCAATTCGACACCACCCGTTAACTCGTACACCTGAATTTCCTCCTTGTAGAGATTCCTCGGATCCCGCAGCGGTTGTGTTTCCGATGCGATGCCTGCGGAGAAGCGAAAGACCGTTCACGGAAACGAGATTCGCCGTCGTGCACGTTCGCGAGAAGCAACTAGCAACCTCTGCTATTTACCTGGCGTCGCCCTGTCATCGTAGAATTTATTCACGTCCGCAACTGCCGTCGGATCTGCGTTCCTTTTGTGTAATCTGTCGATCACCGAGTTGCTCGTCCAACCCTGAAACGTGTCGAGGCTCTTTTTAAGTCCACAGATTCGAACGAAACGAAAACTTTCCGATTATCTTTATACATTCTTTTCTTCCGGCGATAAACGCGTCGAAGGGCACGAGATCAATCGCAACGACCGAAGGGAATCCCCCGGTGAACGAATGGATAATAATAACGATAACAGCAACGGTGTTTCGGTGGTCGATTTTTATTGCATCACGGCCTTAGAATATTATACAGAACCGTTGCGAGACCGAAATTTTCATTTATACCCGGCGAACGTTCCCCGAGCGTTATTCTATCCTTACGGTAACTCCCCTTACACCAGCCTCTCATCTTCGTTCTTCGAAAATCTCTCGCGCAAGCGTCTGCGCGGCACAAAAGCTTTCACGATCTCATCTGAAAGTGCACGCGAAATACGATGGGTACGAGGCTGTCATTTCGACGCGGCGTAGCGCACATGTCGTAATATATGTAAAGAACGCGCGGAAGATGTAAAATCGAAGCGAAGAAGGATCGATGCCGTCCGCCGAGCACTCCACGGCTGCCTAATCAGTGGTACACTCGCGGTTTGATCCGCCGGAGTCGCGCATTCATCCGTCAACGTCGCTCACTCTCCTGTTAGCCGACCGGTCGCGACGACGAGACCCGCCGGTTCATTATAGGGCCGGAGAAAAGCTGCGCTATAAATCCGCGCGCTGTAAATCCACACGCCGGCGGACAGATACACGGGACGGAAGAGAAAAAACGCGCGAGGAGAATACGAAGGTCGGGGGTGCAGCCGACCCCAGGTAACCGGCGCGCGAGGGGGCGCTTTCGCGCGTAATAAGAGGGTAACTTAGACCGGGGCGGAATGCGCTAATAAATTTTAGTTTAAACTTTCTCCCGGTCGCGCGCTTACGAAGGCGGGCGCCCAGAGGATCGTTCAATTAGCCGGTAACGCGGTCGCGGTTACGTGTGTTCGCCGCGTTCGAGGGACGACAAAGCGGTTAATGAAAAATTAAGAGAGCGTACTCCTCCCCTTCTCCTCCCCCCGAGAGTCACACTCGAGGAAGCGCGTCGAGGAAGCCCGCAAGTCCCGCAGGTTGACGCTCTCGCAGGATCCTTGCGAAACGTCGCGCTGCGAGTGTCTCGGGGAACGATTCGCGAGATTCTCGGCGCGTGTGTACGCACGGCCAAACGCGTCGCATCGAGCATGGATCGTCATGAGCGTTCCGCGTCGCCTTCTGCATCCGCCGTTAGGAAAATCGGCCGAAGTTTACGGAACGGCCGCCGCGACGCGTGATTTTCCCCCGACGACTTGATGGCGTCATTACGGTGAAAATTTATAACGACTTCCACGAACTTCGCACGAGCGCGCCCTCCCTCGTGATCAAGCGATGGATAATCCCACGAACGAGGTTTCATGCGTGCGTTACGTAGGGGGAGAAAGATGAGCGTATTCAAAAGAATACATTGCTTATTATATTTCTTATTATATTATCCACTACTGTCGACAGGTTGCAGTCAAGCCACAATGGATTATTTAGTGTTATCCTAGAGAAATTGGCGAATCGTTATCTTACTTCGTCGTCTTACTTTCTTTTCCCGTAAGCACGATGGAGGGTGTAAACCTGGAAACGATGTTCCGGGAGATACCGCGAAATTCTATATCAGCTTCGAGCAAAGCGGCATCTCGTGCGCGTACACACGCATACGCGCGGTCTATTCCGACGATGAGCCTCGATTAAATTACGCGATTCTGCGCATATCTCTTTCTCGGAGGATGATACGCGTAATTTCCGCGTACGTCGAATTTCGTCGTGCGTTAAGGCACTTAATTGAACTTACATAAGCGCGCGCCAGAGTTCTAAATTTACTAATAGTGTATCGGTTACGTGATGAATAATCTTGTTTCGACGAACGCGGGATTACGAGAATTATACACGCGAGATCGAATGCCAATCTACTTGATGGACTTATATCTAACCGGAAATGTCAATACGCAAAATTGGCATGCGTACATATCCGCAAGCGTACATCCGAAATGCTGTTTACACTAATTATATGTAAAATAATCGCCAGCCCATCGCAGCGCATCGGCAATCCCTGCGTGCGTATTTCATGCGCCGATCGATGTTTCGTCTCCATCGAGCGTGCTCAAATCGAAATTTTGATGCTGCACTGATAGAAAATTATAATTATTTTCAGCGTCAAACATATTTTACACATATTTCATACGTGAAAAGAAGAATTAGCTTCCACAGATAAAAATTAATTCCAACAGCTAAATATTAGCTATTCATATAATACAACTGAAATTTAGTTACCAATTGCGTTTGTTTAATTATCTATTTTTTAAAATCCAGTTTTTAACTTCAAAAGCTATAATTTATATGACTAAATTCATATACAGGAAAAAATGAGCTCTTACGGCTGTAAACTAGGCCTGGTAACTAAATTTCAGTTTTATTACATGGACAGCTAATTTTTAGTCATGAGAGTTAATAAGTTCTTTTTTTCGTGTAATAGTAGTGCATGCTTGTAAAGTTATTATCACTGACATCATAATAACACTTATTAGAAAAATAGTTCTTCTAACTATTTTTCAATAGTTCGATTAAAAGAAGGGTATATTTGGCGTCGAAAATAATTATAATTTTTTATCAGTGCACTTTGTGACGCTCTTAAAGACAGTCTGCACCTATTTAAGTGGCTTATAGTCTATTAAAAGTCTATTAAAAATCTATTTCGGAAATTTGAGACATCATCATGGTCAAAATAGGAATAAATTATGTCATTAGAACTGAATCTATCTTACTTTGTTCCTACCATGTTACAGAATTAAAGATTTAATGTAGAGCCAAAATTTCGACTCGGGTGTGCGGTCGAATCGTCGCAAGAACATCGAATGTAAAATTACTCTCCGAAGCGTCTCTCTTTTTCCTTCACTCTCGCCTTCTGCCTATTCCTCTCTCTCTCTCTCTCTCTCTCTCTCTTTTCTCTCTCTCTCTCTCTCTTCTCTCGTCAGAAAAATACGCAACGTTAAAATAATTTCCCCGAGAATTTCACCTGCGAAAAACTTTCCTCTTCATCCGAGCCGCGCTCCGCGGATTCCGATTAACCGCATTCGTCATGCGGTATAACAAATAAATACGTGACTGCTCCCCGGGCCGATTTATTGCATTTACCGGGCGTGCAAAAAATTCTACGTACCGCGCGATTCGGCGCGCATCTCCGTGAGATTTGGCCACAATTTAATTTCTTAGCAAAAACGCGCGCTCCCTTCCTTCCCCCTCATTCCCACCCTCCGCCTTCATTTTATGTATCTCCTTTCGCGCGGTATCTCTTTACGTAGTAAATTACAGCTCGCAAAAAATGGCCAACCGCGATTTACTTGCGTTTCGCTCCGGGATTAATTGCGCAACAATTCACCGTGCGGGCAAAGTAGCAGTAGATAACTTTGCCGTTTTAACGAGAGCATCGAACGACAGATATCGCGGGCGCGGGTCTCTCGCTCTCATTAATTTATATTGCAGCAAGTCCGTATTTTCATGCCTCGTGTATGTGCGTGTGTATCGTTCTTCCCCTATTATTAACTTCCGCCACGCAAAGAGCACTCCCGCGCGCGATTGATACCTCCGCTCCTCGACGAAAATGTGAAAATTCGATCGTTCCCCCGCCGAGCGAAATTATTTGCCGATATGTACGGCGCACACCGATTTGTATGCCGCGTGACTTAACGAATGAAAGCGGATCACGGCCAAACGGAAGCGATAATTGAAGAGTCTCGCGCTAACAATACACGACGCCGAGCTCGCAATCCGCGAATAACAAGTTCTTTTTTTACACAGTTATACGAACGGAAAGTGCCTGTATCGATGCTGTGTCAATTTCGGCGACGGGCCACTTGCTACGACGATACCTATCGCTGAGAGACGAGCTGAATATCCCCCGACGAGAATAGTTTTGCATTGCGAGAGAGCACGTTTCGGAGATTTTTTACATCGCCGTCCGAAGACCAATTCTCGTCCGATTTCAATCGTTACTCCTCAAACATCCCGTATATGTGCACCACGATGCAAATATACGTCAGCTATAAACTGTCGGATGCAAATACACATCGGCTGTAAATTGCGACAAAACGATTCGGGCCTGTCAACGCTCGATGCGGTAAAGAGATTTGAAAACTAGAGCCCCCTCTCGCATCTTTCGGGAGGGACGTATCAAAATGGACTTATCCCCCTTTGCAAGGAACCCTTCAATTACGTCGACGTCTATAGTTTGCGAGCCCTCGGGGCCAATGTTCGTCAATTTAACACGGTTACTCGCGCAGCGGTAGAAAGTTTTGATGCAAAGTTGCCAGTACAGGCTGACGCGAGATACTCCCATTCGCTGTGACAGCGTAATTGCGTTATCGTTCCAATTGGTTTCTCGACGCGAGATTGTTGCTTAAACGTACAATTACGTAGGGAATCACTTATCGAAAGTGCAACGAACCGCGCCTTCTCTCTCCCTCTCTCCCTCTCTCTCTCTCTCTCTTCGTGCCTCGAAAATTTTACCAGGGAACGAGGCGAGAGAGGACGCAGTCTTGCGTAGTAGTTGCTAAAAAGCAGCACGTAATATACGCCGTTGCAACGTGCGATATTGACTCTCTGTAAAGTAGCGTGACTTTAATGTAACGTCGTCTGATGCACTAGCGGGCTTGCAAAAGTAACTTCTTTAAGAGTAGCTCGTTGCCATTATTCCCGAAATAACGAGTCGTTACAGATTGCTTTTTCCGCCAAGTTTTGAAGCTCTTTTTGAAGACCTTCTTTTACGACTCGCTGCGGCCCATCTCACGTACGTACATTCTACATGCACAAGGTACAGTAATAAAAGTAACGGATATATTCGTCATCGTTGTCCAGAAAATTGCGTTACCGTTATCCTTACTAACGAAGAAAAAAAGCGAATGATCGCCAAGTCGTTACTTAAACGAAGTAACTTGTAACGTTAACGACGTTACAAGCAACGCGTTACTTCCCAATC